TATAACAAAATCCCTTAATTATCGCATTTAGTTCAGATTATTTAATATGATTATACAAACTTAAAATAGAAAATAATCTTTTTAAAATCCCTCAATATTTCGAAACCTATTATAATTAATATCGATTTATCAGTAACAAATAATTATTTCTTAATTCAAAAATTTGTGTAGAAAAAGGACACACACATGAGACCATTACAATATCATCAACAATAGAAATTCTTCAAGAATATTGTTTCATGCGGGTTGATTTTTTTTTTAATAAACAATAGGTTATATCAATAGATAATCTTTTAAAAAAAAAATTAATTTTTAAAAAGAAACATAGCCCTTGAGTTTACTACTATTTACGATGGCATCCCATTGGCATTTATTATTTAGATTTTCAAAATTAAATCAAAGATATTAACCTAAACAATCATTGCCAAAAGATCTCTACAAAATATATTTATTAGCCATAACTATCCTTGCTACAATTACATCCATACTGCATTGTTATAATATTTATTTACTCAAAAATATCATTATTGACATATATAAAATTATTTATATTATTTAAAAATATTATAATAAAATGCAAACAACAAAAGAAATTAAATTTAAATCCGCCATACATCGTTACTTAATGAACTGTATGTTTTCATTTCTATATTTTAAAAATTGAAACCTAAAACATACTAATCGTACACTCACACTGAATAATATATAGATATATATGTACAATTTAAAAAAAAAAATATAGGTTATATCTGTAGATAAACTTCAAAAGATTTAAATTTCGACTTTTAAAAATAAAATATAGCCCCACGGTGTACCGCGGGTCAATTTCTAGTTCATAAAAAAATTAGAACATAGAGCAAAGCGTGCATATTCTATATATTTTAGAAATTTGATATTCGGACTTCTGAAATTTTTTCGTACGGAAAGCAAGTATAAAATTTATAGAACATGTACAAAAAAATGTTGAATACTGACACTGTAACACCCACATTCCAAAAAGAATGAATTGAGTTCATGTCGAATGGTGTCGGTTCAATTCCACTTGGTTTAGTAAGCTCGTAGGTTTATTATTAAACCAAGAGGGAAATAGATTAATTTTGGTAATTCTAGTTTCTGGTTTAGTTTAAGTGGACCAAAATTAAATCTAAGCATATTTATATCCAAAAAATTGAAGAAGCCCTAGTGTTTTCTCAGAATTTTCGTGGCCACCATCAAAGAGAGAAAGAGAGAGGATGATTGTGCCTAAAAAGAGAGGAAACAACTTTCTCAAAAAGAGAGTTGTAGACAGATTAGATACGTCGTGGTAGAGCAGAGATTTGACATTTTAAATAGTAGGAAAAGATAACAAAAATGTCTGGATTGTAGCTAAAACCTATATCTAGATGTGTCCTTTTGCGGATATTGATTTGATTCAATATTCTAAGAGTTATATGTGTTTTTTTGAGCCGTTATGTTTCAAACGCGATTTGAACCAGCGTCTATTCAAAGGAAGATCGCGATTGAACCTTAGTGGGATCGTCACGAAGTTTTGAGGTAGCTTCAGGACATCAAGGGGAAGATTTTCAACGGTGGGATTTGAATGTGTACGGTTAGATTTCGTTTTGTGACCCCATATTTCAGGCTGAGCGTTCTATTATTTTTCCAGAACTTTATAGTTTAGGTTAAATGTTATTTTTGGTTGTTGTGGTTAGTTATAGGGTGAGTTGAGCTACTGTTGGCGACTAGGAACTCACTGCTAGTTGTGGAATTGTAGCTTTCGGTTTGGAAATCATCCTTGTTTCAAGGTGAGTGCGTGACCATGAGTATACAGTTCGTGTCATGTTCGAGAGGGAGAAGAGAATACGGACACTACAAGTTTGTGGTGATGCCATTTGGATTGACTAATGCACCAGCAGCATTTATGAGGTTGATTAATGGTTTGTTTCAGGAGTACTTGGATGAGTCTGTGATAATCTTTATATACGATATTCTGATGTATTCGAAGAGTTCTGAGGAGCATGAGGTACACCTAAGAGTTGTTCTAGAGAAGCTGCAAGAGCAAAAGCTGTTCGCTAAGTTGAGCAAGTGCAGTTTCTAGCAGCGGGAGATTGGGTTCCTAGGACACATTATTTCAGCGGCTGGAGTGTCTGTTGATCCAGAGAAGATTCAGACTATTAGGGAATGGCCAAGGCCGATGAATGCTACTGAGATTAGAAGTTTTCTTGGCAAGCGGGGCATTATCGGAGATTTTTCAAGGGTTTCACGTGTATGGCTCAAGCTATGACGAAGTTGATAGGGAACGATGTTTTTTTTGTGTGGTCTCCAGAGTGTGAAGAGAGTTTCACGAATATAAAGGCGATGTTGACAAGCACACCAGTTTTGGCGCCAGAGCAGGGCGAGCCACATGCAGTGTATACAGATGCATTGAGAGTGGGTATCAGATGTGTGTTAATGTAGGAGGGGAAGGTGATTACCTATGCTTTGCGGTAGTTGAGGAAGCATGAGGGCAACTATCCTACCCATGATCTAAAGATAGCTGCTGTTGTTTTTGCCTTGAAGATTTGGAGCTCTTATCTTTATGGCGGGAAGGTTCAGGTGTTTACAGATCACAAGACCGATGGGGCGGAGGTTTTGGCTAAGAAATATGTGCAGGAGGTAGTGAGATGTCATGGAGTACCTGTGAGTATAGTATCAGACCGGGATCCTAAGTTCACTTCAGCGTTCTGGAGGGCGTTCCAGGCGGAGATGGGCACTAATGTGCATCTGAGTACGGCTTATCATCTTCAAACGGATGGAAAATCTGAGAGGACCATTCAGATTCTTGAGGATTTGCTGAGGATGTGTTTCCTGGATTGGGGTGGTCATTGGGCGGATCATCTGGGTTTGGTGGAGTTTTTTTATAATAATAACTACCAGGCGAGTATTGGGATGGCTCCTTTTGAGGCGTTGTATGGGAGGCCCTGTCGTACACCTTTATGCTGGACCCAAGTGAGGGAGATGAGTCTTTATGATGAGGGTTTTGTTCAGAAGACCTCGCAAAAGATTCGGGTTTTGAAGCTGAACATGAAAGACGCTTAGGATCGGCAAAAGAGTTATGCAGATAATAGGAGGAGAGAGCTTGAGTTTGAGGTGGTAGATATTGTGTATCTCAAGATGGCGATGTTGAGGGGTCATAACAGGTCTATTACCGAGAACAAGTTGAGTCCGAGGTATATGGGTCCGTTTAGGATTGTTGAGCGAGTTGGACCGGTTGCTTATCGGTTAGAGTTACAGGAGATTATGCAGGCATTTCATAAGGTTTTCCATGTGTTGATGCTGAAGAAGTGCTTGCATAAAAATGATGAGTTGTTGGCTAAGATTCCCGCAGATCTTCAGCCCAAAATGACCTTGAAGGCGAGGACAGTGAGGGTTCTCAACAAGAAGGTCAGGCAGGATCATCGGGAGAAAACTCCAATGATCAAGGTTTTTTGGGATTGTTATGGTGTTGAGGAGGAATTTTGGGAACCAGAGGCAACGATGAAAGCGAGATTCAAGAAGTGGTTTGAGAAGCAGGCGGAGGGTTTAGCTTATCATCGATAGTCCCGGTTTCAGAGTTTGAGTATTTTTTTCGGTTATTTCATTATGTAATTCTTTTAAGATTGTAACGATTGATACATTTTGGAGTTTTAATAAGATGAGTATTTCTTATGGATTGATGACTTGTTATGTCATGAAAAAATTGAAGGAAAACATGAGGTTTAAATTAAAAATTAAAAAAACTTGACTTATACTCAGGAAGAGAGTATGTGAAACACCCTGAGTGACTGGGATGTTTTAGATGGCCTAAGAGAGTGGTCATGGTTGTGACGATATTTTGGAGTGGGAATATGGGTGGTAAGTATGGCATTGCTATGTTGCATGCAAACCATATAAGGTTGTTTCGGTCAGAAATGCTTTTAGACACTTAGACATGATTGCTCGGAGTACGGTTTGGTCATGGACAACTCGTTAGGGAATGAATAGTTTCCCTAGTACCGAGAGCTCGTAAGGTTATACATCCCAGAGTGTGAGTGGTATGGTTATATACCCAGAGATCGTAAGGTTACATAACCCAGTGTGTGAGTGGTACGGATATGATACCTAGAGCTCGTAAGATTATACGATCCAGAGTGAGAGTGGTATGAGTATGATACCCAGAGCTCGTAAGGTCGTATTTTCCAGAGTGAGAGTGAGAGAGGTATGAGTGTGATACCGATAGCTCGAGGGACTTTGTGGCCTGAGAGTGGGAGTGGTATGGGGTACCCAGAACTCGAAAGACTTTGCGTCTGAGAGTGGAGGGGTATGAAGTGAGTTGTGAGCAATAAATCTATGATGGGAGTCTAAAGCATAGTGATTTGATGGAGACCTCGGAGGTCGTTAGTGTATGACCTTGTGATCGGATTATGTTGTCGGATGGGTGAAGGGATGAGTAAGTCGTTGCGACTATGATAGTTGGAATTATTACATAATGGACATTAACCTAAGAGTCGAGGACGAATCTCTGCAAGTGGGGGAGAATTGTATCGCCCGTGTTCCTAACAACAATAGAAAAATAGATGTTTATGTCAGAAATTGAAGTAGAGTCGGTTCAATTTCAACTGGATTACTAAAAGGGTCGATTTATTAATTAAACAAAAGAGGTGATTTAATTAATTCTCAGTTTAGTAAAATCTTGGTTTAATCCAATTAAACCAGGGAACCCTATTTTTCTCTATATCACGACACCAGCCTCCTCTTCTCATGTGTCGTGACATGCAAAGAAAAAGAGAGAAAGAGAGTTGGTTAGTATGAGAAAGAGGGAGAGGTTAAAGATTGGTGAAGGAAAAGAGAGACAGACATAACACATTTTGGAAGAACAGAGTTTCGGTGTATCAAATCGTTTCCAAAGGTGACGAAATTTTCAGGGATAGTAGGTAAGACTTATATCTAGTTGTAGCCTTTTGCGGATATTGATTTGGGACAATATTCTAAGAGTTATCTCTGTTTTTGTGAGCTCTTCTGTTTCAAACGCGATTTGGACCAGTGTGTGTTCAAAGAGAGATTGCGAGCAAACCCTTTTTCCAATCGTCACGAAATTTGTGGGTAGCTTCAGGACACCTATGGGAAGCTTTTTAACTGTGGGATTTGAAATTGGACGGTTAGATCTCGTTTCGTTATCCAATCTTTCAGGCTGACAATTCTGTGATTTTTCCAAAATTGTACAGTTGGGTTAAATTGTTGTTTTGATTATTTTGGTTGGCTATTAGGGTGATTTGAGATACTATTGACGTGAGGAAGAAGTCAACTATGGTTGTGTGGTGTTGTTATTGTTCAAAAATAATCCCTAAGCTGAGGTGAGTGCGTGACCATGAGCTTATCTAAGCGATTAGGATTATGTGATTGTTTGTTGTGATGTGTAGGTTGGATTTTTGATGGATTCAGAATTGAAATCCGTGAGATGGTTGTATTATTGGATGATTGTCATTGGTTTGGTTTGTTTTCATGAATTATGTGTTGATTTGTGATCTTAGTTTCTTGTGTGTATAGCTCGTAAATGGGAGGATCGCCTCACTAAGTATTCATTGAAATACTTATGTATCTCTTTTCTTGGTGCAGGTAAAGATAAAGTGTGATCGTGGAATCATGGCGAGGAGAGGAGGATGATTTAGGGTCTCGTTGCTGTTAGTTTATTATTTTTAGTATGATGGATTTTTGGATTGGAAGTTGTTGGAATTGTTAGATAATTTGTTGGTTTATGTTGGTTAAATTATAATAAGTTGAATTTGGATTTTTGATTTGAGTTGTGTTGGTTTTGGCATGATTTTTAATTGGGGAAAATTAATTAATATTTATGGGAATATTAGTTAATTAATTAAAAAAAAAAATGGGTCGGGTTGTTTCACTTGCTTTTATACTTTTCTGCATGCAGTGTTGAGTACATTTCTGAGATTAAGATGCTTCCATTTGCGATCCAATACTTCTACAAGCCTGAAACACAGTCCCAGCAATAATAAAACAAGAATGATCAAAATGGTATTTTATTTAGATTAGTTTACAATTTGAGCATTCTATATCTTAAGCTTGTTCATAAAATCCGGATCATAATCTGGATCATTAGACTCAGCACGTTTTCTTTTGTTAATATCAGGCACATATTTTTCAGGTTCATCATCAAATGCCTCTTCCACAGAAATCAGGTTTGTAGGCACATTAACCTTAAGTAGCTTCGGTGATACGCTTGTGGAACCTATGGTTTGAGATTGGCATAATTCTTTGCTAGCCTCGGGAAGGAAAACGTTGAGACCAAGAAGCAGTTTCGGGTGCCCTTTAATGAGTTCAATCATCCTTGCAATGCCACAAACTTTATTGATTCTACAAAGAGACTTGTAGTAACATCAGAATCAAAATCACATGTGTGTTTGTTGTGTAGATTAGGAGTCGAAAATAATTCATACCGATAAGCTTTAGTATCAATCAAGATCTTGAGAAATTCTCTAAATTTTGCTGGTTCATCATGAAATGTTTCTTTCAGAGAATGAAGGTATATGAAACCGAATCATCCATAGTTAGCTCCAGTGGTACTCTTCTTCCAGCCATAGTTTGAACTTGGTCTAAACCTTTTAGTATCCAATAAAGTGAACTTTTGTTCATTAAAACATATTAGATCATCACTGAATATCTCTAGTATCTCAAAGCAATTACCACTTTAGAATCTTTCAAAAAACAGAACCTTGAGTGCATAAAAACTTACAAATGCAAAGTCAACGTACAAAAAAAAAGAACATTCACCAATTAAGAGATTGCGAGAGGATTAAGTCCAATAGGTTTTAGAGATTAGGTTAACACTTCTATTGAGAACAAAACAAAATCATCTCTAACTTGAGGGTTCAAGTTGATCAAACTTTCATCACTTGGATTTAAATAATTAGGTAAATTTTATCACATATACAAAAATGAATTCAAACACATGCCAGCAACTACAAAAGGAATTAAATACAAGCCTCAAAAAAATTTCTAATCAGTGCAATAGAAAATACAAAATTGTTATCGAATTTTGGAGAAAAAAAGAATTGAACGCATTTATGTCAATGGCGGAGCCAGCATTTTGATTTACGGAGGGTCATATATTTAATTATTTTTATTGAATTATATATTAGAATTAATATTAATTTCCATATTAACATATTATACATTTTTTGTTAAATAAATATTGAAAATAACGTAGTAACAAATAAACCAAGATATTCTATGTCTAAGTGGGAAGAAAAAATAATAATATAAATAATTGTTTAGATTTTTAACTATTTAGAAGAAGAAAAAAAAAAAAAAATTGGAAAGAGATTTAAGGTTAAATAAAGAAAATGAACTAGATAACAGCCCGCACTATGTGTGAGATAAAACGATTATTAACCAATTTTAATGTATTGATGATATTGAAGGTCTTCGATTTTTATTATTAGATAGATAAACGGTGGTATATTAATGATTATCAAGATTAGTGAAATTTTATTTATGTATTAATGTTTATGTTTACTATAATTAATGATATATTTCTTGGTATATTAATAAATATACAAAATATTAGGTACTCTATTTATGAGATCTTGTGAATGTTTATTTGTTTGTTATAGATGTAATTTACGTCATCAAATATTATATTTTCTAGAATATATATAATAAAATAAATATTAATTTTATATATAAAAAGCAGTGGACAAACAAAAAACACCAATTCTCGGACGAAGTTCTTAGTCACCCACAAGTCGTGCTGAGTACCGATTCCATCTGATTTTTTTGGTTTTGACCAGCTAGAATTTCTCATCTCTATAATATAACTCTTCGTTATGTATTTTGTCACTTATAAATAATTTTACTTTAAGAAAAAAATGTTTCAAAAGTGTTTTTAATCATAATTCTTCTTTTTTACATTTTATTCATAAATTGTTTCAACATATTTGGAAAATATTTACGATATAACTTTAAAACATAGTTAAATATTTGAATATATTATCTTAATAATTTAATATAAAAATACAATCAAATATATTTGTTGAAAATAAGTTCCCCGCAATGTCACGGGGTTCATGACCTAGTATAAATAAAACTAATGGCAAAATCTGTAAATATCTTAATAAATGTTAGGTTTTTAATTAAATAAATTGAGAAACTTTGTGAGAACGATACGTCAACATGACATTTTTGTTAATAATACATGAAAATAAGGTTATTTTTAAAAAATGCTTCTCAATTAATATATAAGGAATATGTATGGGGTCAAATATAGGAATTGGTTACATGGTATGGGGGTCAATATAGAAACTTCAAACCAAAACTTCTAATTATCACTATCAAACTCACCTAATAATTAAAAATTTAAAAATGTTATGGGAGTCGTTTGACCCCCTCCCTCTGGCTCTGCCATTGTTCTCCGTTACACCACACGATTACGAAGAGAGGAAGAGAGAGAAAGAGAGACGAGTTTCTAGAAAAATCTCTCAAATTTCGTGTTGCTTATTTAAAGGTTTCGTCACATGTAGGGTTTTGTTTCAATAATACCTTTGTTTCTTAATAATGAACTTTCGAAAGATTTTATACATATCTTTAATAAATAAAAAAAGATTTTATACATATGAAGAAAAATTATTAATGCTTAATTATAAGGGATGTCATTTTTGGTACTATACCATTTTTTATATCTCTATACAATTAAAGAAATTTAATTATCTTCAATCAGTGATTCTTAAAAAAGTTTTTATCATTAATTAATATTAAATAACATAAAAAAGCTTTAAAATATATTATTAAAGTTTTAAAAAAAAATTTCCGTAGAGAGTCTTCTTTTTAAAAACAGAGAAAACAATTTTCTGAATCTGATTTAAGAAAATTTGAATTTCTGCCATCTTATTATATAAACTGGTTTTACGAATGCACTTAAATGAGATACACATAGTACAAGTAAAACAATGAATTTTCTAAAGTTTTGATACTTATGGAGAAAAAATATTTCAAAACACTAATAAAACCACTAAAGTTTTGATACTTATGAAGAAAAAATATTTTAAAGTTTCTAAAGTTTTAAAACCACTAATAAAATCCTTGTAAATCTATGTAAATCCTTTTAAAATATTTTAAAAACACTTATAAACCTTTTTAATACTCTTTCAAAACACTTGTAAATCCTTTTAAAAGCCTTGAAAAACCCTTGTAAATCTTTTAAAACTCTTGTAATTCCTTTTAAACCCTTGTAAACCTTTATAAAATCATTTTAAAGTCCTTGTAAATCCATATTTTTTTAAACAAAAATTTTTTGGCGGAATTTTTTTGTCGGAAATTGTTTTGGCGAAAACATTTTGTCGGAAACATATTTGGCAGAAAATTTTGGTCGGAAATATTATTGGCGGGAAAATTTATTTTTATCATTTTGTTGTCTCAATTGTTTTTCAAATAGTGGTAAAATGGTCATTAAAAATTGAAATAAGCATAAATGAAAATGGCTAGAATATGAGGTATTTATGAAAAAGGGTATCAAAGAAAGGGTATTTCTAGAAATTTCTCAATTAACAATGTACCATTAGTAATTCAATATATTTAATTATTTTCAATCATTATTTCTTAAAATTTACAATTCATTATCAGTAATTAATATAAAATTACACAGAAAATCTTAAGAATCTATTTTTTTTTTGAAATTTGAAAAAAAAAAAATTGTATCAGGAGTTGAAAATAATTCATACCGACGAGCTCTAATATCATTCAAGACCTTGAAAAATTCTTTATATTTTTCTTCCTTCAAAGCAGTGAGGTATGAAACTGCATCATCCATATAGATGCCTTGGTGATAAGATTCTTCCAACCATGAGGTGAAATTGACCTAAACCCTTTAGCATCCAAATTGACCTAAATTAGTTTCTTAAATGCAGTTCGAATTATAATGCATTTAAGAAACCTATATATTTAAGAAATTCTCCATTTCACTTTGATACTCTCTAAACTGATTGTTTTAGTAAGAGCCGAACACATTGTCTTCTCATTGAGATTTCCCTCTTTATATGTCCATAGATGATGCAAGAACATTGCTTGGACAATAATAATAAAAAATCATATAAGAATTACTAAGAATTGTTTTTATAGTAACTAGGTTGATTATTTTATCATACCATTCTCTTCATAGAACCTATAAATATATTAATAAATCTATTCTCAAATTTAAAAGGGTATTTTTCATAAATAATTTACTTTTTGTTTTAAGTAAAAACCTTTAATTTTGGTATTTTGTTTAACTGTTATTTGTTTTAGCCTACTAAATAATTGTAATTATTAAAAAATAATTGTTCTACCATAAAAATATATGATAAGTTTCTTTTTCCTATCTCTAACCATTTAAATATATTTACTCATTATATGTTAAGATATAATTATCTAATTTTATTTTTATCCAATCTATATTCATTTTTTGTATATATTAGCTTTTACGTTTTTTAAATATTTAATATTTTTTATATAAATTATTGTTTTCTTTTAAGGACACATAATAATAGAAAGTGTTTGAATTAATTTTATTTTTAATATTTTGTTGTAATAAATAAGATATGTGGAATCTACATGAAAAAAATATGATGACATGATGCTGAGTGGACACTATAAAATGAGAGAAAACCCTCCCATTATATATATAGATTCTCTTCATAAAACCTATTGAAAACTACTATTGTAAAGAGAGTGAATATATTCTTCCAGTTCTATATCTCTCATCACTCTATCACTTGAATGATCCGATTTACTATTATAAAACATTAGCTTTTTTGTTCTTTTCTTCATTTGGCCATTAATTTATAGGTTTGAGTTTG